GCATGAAAAAAATGCTTAATATCACTAATTATCAAGGAAATGCAAATCAAAACTACAATGAGATATCACCTTACACACTGAGAATGGTCATCATTCCAAAGTCCACAAATGACAAATGCTGGAGAGGCTGTGGAGAAAAGGGAACTCTCCTACACTGCTGGTGGGAATGCAGTTTGGTGCAGCCACTGTGGAGAACAGTGTGGAGATTCTTCGAAAGACTAGAAGTAGATTTACCATATGACCTAGGAATACCACTCCTGGGCTTATATCCAGAAGCAACCCTACTTCAGGATGACACCTGCACCCCAATATTCATAGCAGCAGTATGTACAATAGCCAAGACATGGAAACGGCCTAAATGTCCATCAACAGATGACTGGATAAAGAAGAGCTGGTATGCTTATACAATGGAGTAGTATTCAGCCATTAAAGACAACAACATATTGCCATTTGCAGCAGCATGGATGTTCCTGGACAATGTCACTCTAAGTGAAGTAAGCCAGAAAGAGAAAGAAAAATGCAATATGACACTTCTCTTATATGGAATATACAAAGAAAAAAAAAGAACATTAATACAAAACAGAAACAGACTCATAGACATAGAATACAAACTTGTGGTTGCTGGGTGTTGGGAGTGTGAAGGGTAAGACTGGGAGTTCTAAATTTATAGATACTGACAGGAATATTTAGAATAGATAAACAAGATTATACTCTATAGCACAGGGAAATATATACAAGATCTTGTGGAAGCACATAGCAAAGAAAAAAATGTGACAATGAATATATGTATGTTCATGCAAACTAAAACATTGCTGTCTACACTGAAATTTGACACAACATTGTAAAATGACTATAACTCAATAAAAAATGTTTTAAAAAACACAAAACAAACAAAAAAAGAAAATAGAAAGAAACAAGGGTTGAATTTACACTGCTATTCTAGTAATTTGATGTCCAAAAGGTTACATGTCCACCTTAAATACAGCCATGACCAAATCATCCTGTTGCTGAGATGAAAAGTGCTGGTCCCGTTACCTGCCAACTTAGAAAACTACATTGGGAGAGAAAACCGAATTTGGCAAAGCCTAAGATTCTTGTCATCATAAACTCTTAGAGCATAACTGGGGTGTTTTTTTCCTTTCTCTTTGTATTTAGGTGACATTTTTGTGTTCCGGTTGGACAGCTCAGAGAGAGGGTGATTCAGTGAGGGCAAAACATTTAGGGATGACAGCAGTCTTCTGGCCAGGGGAGACACCTACTGACTTGAGGATAAAGAGAGAGAGTTAACTTCCCAGGGAAATGTGAGGACTTCAGAGGGGGAATTTTGAGTCTGCGGTGTCTGCAGAGATGTGTTCAGAAGGCAAAATGTGTTTAAAAGTAGAGCTAAAAAGAGGTGTCAGGACTGGAAATAGGGACTCAAGACCCCTGGGCAATTGTCAGAGAGCACAGTGTGGATCAGAGGAGGAGACAATTAGCGAGCACAGTGGACTGGGAAGGGACCTAAGACTTGACAGGGTTGGGGATTTTGGTGGCCTTGACCTGAGAAGTTACA